CATGAGACAATTTGGCCAATTGGCATAGTATAGTTCATAAAGTTTAGATAGTCTTCTATTATAGTGAGTAATATTTGGGGTCTTGAAAGTTTGTGAGCAGCAATTTAAAACACAACTATTGATCTGTACTTATCTGAAGCAAAACAAATAATAATTAATTACAAAATTCAGAAAAGGAACCAGACAAGAGAACTGATAATTCATGTGTTCATTTTATTCCTGTATCCAAAGATCAGGAGACCTAACTAAATGGCTATCACTGAAGTTTCTGAGCAGGACCACAAAAGATTTATCTTGAAAGAAAGGGAGAAATATGAAAAACAAAACTCATAATTTTAGCAAATTCAGAGTAAATCAACTCACATAGGAAGAATCCTTGAGATTATTATCTTGCAATGTTCTTTAAGCCTTTTAGTTAAATTGCAGGTTATCTCAAAAAGTAAGACATATCCCTCTTAGTAGTATAAAAAATGAACACCTCATCTGTATGAAACCAAATGGTCTCCAAATTCTCTAAAATATTGATTAGAAAGTTAGGAATCTGGGAGACTAGGCCAATGGGAATGAAATAACTAGAACAGCAATAATAGAAGTCAACACAATTTAAAAAAAATGTAGCCCAAATCATTGGACAGTCAGATAGAAATTATTGACTCAGAACCTATTTTTCTATATATACTTCCACTGAAAGCATAATAAAATATTTTTACAAAAATACTTCAGTTGAATTTTGAAAAATGTTATATATGGAAATTAGATTGGCATCTTTCTGTGTCAAGTATCTGGAGCCCTCTTGATCTTCCTTCCTTCCTTCCTTCCTTCCTTCCTTCCTTCCTTCCTTCCTTCCTTCCTTCCTTCTTCCCTATCTTTGGATAGAAATAAAGTGTTTTTTTGAATGACAGTCTCCCTTTACTATATCTATTTAGGACTGGTTCCTTAGAGAAACAAAATGACCATGTGTCAGGGAAGAACTTCCATTAGAGATCTTTATTTCCAAACATGTCTGTCAACCTCAACACTTCACCCCTGGCTTGTCAACATTTTCATCTTCTTGTCTTATATGTAGTATACAGATATGGTCTTACCTTTACAGGTATCTGTTCTCTAGGTTTAAAGAAAAAAGTAACAGCAAACTTTGTGTTCTGAACACAAACTCAGTTGAGAAAAGTTATATATTGTTTATAAGTTATCTGTCTGTTATGTTTTACCAGAAAAGGACTGAAATGTGAGCAGATCATATATAAGTATTTCTAGGAGGTGCACTTCTCTTAAGCTTCCCAGTGCCTTAAGTTTCAAACCTCTGCTCTTAGAATAAGGATAGACATCAGGAGTAACACCAAAATGCATAGTATTATTTAGTATATCAATTACAAGTTATGTACCCATCTGCATGCACCAAAGGCAGTGCAACTAGTTGTAGAGAGGGGTGTGTGTGTGTGTGTGTGTGTGTGTGTGTGTGTGTTTGTGTGCAGTAAAACATTTTATCCTTGCCATCAAGGTGGAACCAATTCATATCTGACCTTTCAGTGGATTTGGAGAGTCTATAAATAATATGAATGGAGATTGCCCATCTCATGCAGCAACTGGTTAATTATTGTTGTTGTTGTTATGTGCTGTCGAGTCATTTGCGACTCATAGCGACCCTATCTATGTACAACAGCCCTAAACCCTGCTCTATCCTGTGCCAATCGCATTGCCTCTGACACACCCATCCCGATTACCTCAGTCACCAAATCAATCCACCTCATAGAGTGTCTTCCCCTCTTGCACTGTCCCTCCACTCTCCCAAGCATGATGTCCCTCTCCAAGGACCTGTCTCTCCTTACAACATGTCCAAAGTATGTCAGAAGAAGCCCCAGAATCCTTGCCTCCAAGGAGTAGCCTGGTTTAACTCTCTCTCCAGGATGGATCTGTTTGTTTTCTTGGCAGTCCATGGAACATTCAATACTCTTCTCCAGCACCACAGCTCAAAGGCGTCAATTCTCCTTCTATCCTCCCTAGTCATTGTTCAACTCTCTGATGCATAACAAGTGATTGCAAAGACCATGGCCTGTATCAGGTGCACCTTAATCTTCAGAGAGACACTATTGCTCTTGAGTACTTTAGAAAGGTCTCTAACAGCAGACTTTCCCATCGCAATATGTTTTTTTTATTTTCTGGCTCCTGGTACAAAGAGTGTTGACCTTGGAGTCGAGCAAACTGAAGATGAGAACAATCTCAATCTCTTTGCCATCCATCCTGATGCTACGAATTGGTCCAGTGGTGAGAATCTTTGTCTTTTGGACATTAGAAATGCTAGAAAGGTACAACTTGGTTAGTGACACAAATCCTTTCAGACTTCACCAACAGAGGTCTATATATGGATGTGTGTGTGTGTGTGTGTGTGTGTGTGTAAAAATATATAAATATGTGTTGGTATATATACACAGACAGGTATGCTCAAAAGCTCTTATATCTTCTTACACTAAGTTTCTTTGACCTTTTACTAGTGTTTTCCACTCAAGGTAAAATCATCTCCCTTCATAATAGATCACACTATGAAAAGAACATCACTAGAAAGAAGAAATAATCTTAAGTGCTACTGTCCTCTGTGTCCTGTGATAGCAATTAAAGCATCAGAGACTCTTCTCTACTAAACAAGGACATTCAATCTCTTCCAAGTTAAATTTTTTTTAAATTTAGTTTGTTTATTTTTCATTTCAATGAACATCTACAGAGATTTTAGAATTCCATTCATTCACTGTTGCACCCTTCTCCCCCCACAAACCCCTCCTCTCCCCCCCCCTTTTGCTCCTCTCCTTGAAACGCAAAAGAAAAACTCCCTCATAGGTACACAATTCCCCCCACACCTCCCCAAACCCCACCCCCTACCCCCAAATATAATCCACTCTGCAACCCTCATTGCGTAGTCCTATGATAAAAATAATGCCCTAAAATATAATACTTTTAGACTATTCTCTCCCCCACAGACTTCAATGCCGTAAACATATTTCATCCAAGTTAAATTTATGAAACAGTTCTGAGTATGTGCAAAGTGGTTTGGCCTCATACCAGAATTGGCTTAATAGATCTGGTTAGTTGAAAAATTGCCAAGAAAATTGAATAAGCCAAATCTAGCATGACTTTTTTTTGTCCTCACAACCTACAAAAGTTAGGACAGAGATATCATTAAAGGATACCTAGCTATTTTTTCTCCTCTTTTCTGCAATGTGACACTGCTAGCAATACTTTTGGATAAAAACCTATAAAAATGTAAAATCCCTATGTAGTCTCTTAAACAGATTTATAGATTTATAAGAAATTTCTTTAGAAGCTAATGGAATAAAGGCAAGAAGGTGGAAGTAAAAATGAAGGCAGGCAAAAAAACTGAAGAACAGGAGACTATAGAAAGAGGAATAGAAGAGATTGTTCTTGATTGTTGTTATGCACTGTCAAGTCACCTGCGATTCATAGCAGCCATATATACAACAGCTCTAAACCCTACTCTGCCCGGAGCCACTTACGGAGGCTAACAACCCCCCCCACCCCCCACATTGCCTCCGTTACTGTTTCAACCCATCTCATCTGGGCTCTTCCTCTTCTGCAATGTCCCTCCATCATTCCAAGCGTGATGCCCTTCTCCAAAGACCAGTTCTTCCTGTCCACGTGTCTAATGTATGTAAGATGTAGCTTCAAAATCCTAGCTGCCAGGGAAAAACTTGGTTCTACCATCTCCAAGACAGACTTACTTGTTTTCTTAGTGGTCCATTGTATGTTTAAGATTCTTCTCCAACACCACAACTCAAAGGCATTGATTCTAAAAGGAAGGGAAAAGGTAAAAGAAATCCAATGTCTGTTTCCAAGTTTTCTTGTGCCCCCAAAACACTTGACTACTCTATCCTTAACTGGAATAAATATTTTTTAGCCATGTTCTAATTTTAGATGCATTCCGTTATTAAAGTTGTTTTGATTCTGTATTTACCATATTAAACTCCTCATATCAATATTATTTACCTTCATTTAAATATTATTGATCATCTTGATAATTACCTTTCAGCCTTTTCTCACTTTATATGTTGGACAATCCAACCACTCATTCTTTTCAACTCCCAGCAATCATTTTGTTATTAATAAACCAACCTCAATATATCTCTCTCTCCTTTGACCTCTAGATCTTAATTTTGAAAGACCATAGGCCATTACACCAAGACATTAGTTAGTATTTAACTCATATTTAACATTTTAAAATGAATTTATATTCTGAATTCTGTACTTCCCTTTTAAACATCACAAATGTGTTAGCAATCTCATTGCCCAGACAATTGCTCAGGATAGAAATTTTTACAATTATTTTCTTTTACTGTAATTTTATACTAGAAGGCTTAGATCATAGTATTATGGACTTTACTTATAATTAAAAATATCATTATATATGTATATATGTGCATATATTATATGTAATATGTATATATAAACACAATTGCAATATACTTCCAAAAGAACAAATAGATTTGTTTTAGTAAAGGTACAACCAGAGTAGTCCTTAAGGGCAAGGGTGGCAAACCTTTGTTTTTGTACTATCAAGTCAGAATCAACTCTCCAGATGGATTTTCAGGGGCAGTTTAATCACTCAGGAGGGCATTGCCCATATTTCTCCTATGGAGCAGCTGATGGATTTGAAATGTGTGCCTTTAACCTTGTAGTACAACTCTTTATCACAAAGCTACCAGAGCTCTTTGGAAAGGAACACCATGTTTGAAAAGTGAAGGGTCACCGAAAGAAGGTAAGACAGCAATGGGCTCAAGTACGCCAGAGATGATAAGAATGTCACAGGATAGGACAAGATTCAGATATTTTATTCACAGAGTCACTAAGAGTTATGCTTGATTCAATGTCACCTAACAACAACAGTATGTACTTAATGTTCTTGTCAACTAAATAATATGTTCAAACAAAATATAAATATAGCAATTTATAAAAAATAAATTCTCAAATTTTATTGCTTTTACTTGCATTTTTAGCTGGCCATTGCGGCTCTCCTGATCCAATTGTGAATGGCCATATCAGTGGAGATGGCTTCAGTTACAGAGACACGGTGGTTTATCAATGTAATCCTGGTTTCCGACTTGTTGGAACTTCAGTTAGGATATGCTTGCAAGACCACAAGTGGTCTGGACAAACTCCAGTTTGTGTCCGTAAGTATATAGTTTGTGACCTAATTAAACTTCTTTTTGACATATTTTTATTTATCATGAAGTCATAAGAGAATAATATTCTTCTTTGAAAAAGAATAGATAGAGCATTCTCAACATGTTCAAATAGACTATGAACATTAATTTTCACATTTTCTCTTTTTCCATTTATCTACCCCCCCAAACTAAACTATCCAAATTTATCCTCAAATGTAATTTTTTCCTAATTCCTATCAAACTTGTAGGACAAAAGCAATGACACAACATTCTTTCCCCTATTTTACATAGATTCAACTAAGATAACAAAAAAACAAAAGCTAACTGTACAGTAAAGATGCTGAGTCAGAATTTTTTAGCTTTGGAATTGAAAAATAAAAGAGCACCATATATTTTTATATTCATTTTAATTTTTTCTATTGTCTTATTTTTCTTTCATCAATTATAAAGTGTTGAAAGCAGTTTATTATTTAAAAAGCAGATAAAATTTTAGATTATTATATCTAATAGTATTTTTAGAAAAGATTGGTACCTTCATTACAAATTAGTTCCAAATATTTTTTTCTAATTTGTTTATCCTTTCTTTTCCTATGATTCATGCACAGGACGTGTTTAAGTAACTATAGGATAGTACCAAGTATGTCTCTGATAGAGAATGTGTTTGCTTTATATGGTTTTCTGAGTTGTAATCTGAAGGAAGTCATCTGGCTTTTCTCCTGTGGAGTCACTAGTTGGCTTCAAGTTACCAACTGTTTGGTTAGTAGAATTAAATTATGATAAATGCACAAAATCTAGTGATATAAGTTTATATAGAAGAATATTTACAAGATAAATGAGAAAAGCAAACTAGTTTATAGCTGTAATGTAATATGTAAAATTGGACCTGTAATAGGACCAATGAAATATTTTTATATGCTCTGTATTACAATTATTTTAGGCATGGCATAACAAATCATTATATTTCAAAGGAAAGTAGAAGAGGAATTGTTAGCAAAAAATGCCTTTTTAGTGTTCACAATTTTTTCTACTAATTGTGTTAAACATTACTGTGGAGGAGCCCTCGTGGTGCATATATCTAAATGCTGCTACCAAAAGCATTGCCAATTTGAACTCGATTATTGTCTCCTAAGAAAAAGTTCAAATGACCTGCTTTTGTAAAGAAGATAGCTTAGAAAATTTTACAGAGCAAGTATATTCTTTCATTATAGGTAGCTATGCATAGAATTGACTACAAATTTTCTTATAACAGTATTATTGGTGCATGAAAATTTATATATACACATTTAAAGTATCAGCCAAATTCCTGTAATGTTTTCTAAATAAGAATTTAACAAATTTAGCCTGTCTGTACAATATTTAAAACATGTGATTAACAAAAAATATGTAATAATTTCTACCTTTTCACAAAGAAAGAATGCCATCCAACAAAATAGATTGATAGAGTTACTGTCAAAGGGCTCGAGTATATCAGAAACACTGACGATGGCCCATGAAAAGGAGTCAAATATGATGTTGTTAGGGTCACTATGAGTCATAGTCAACTTGGTGTCACCCAAGAACAATAACCTTCTCACTACTTCATTTTTAAGTTTACTATGTATTCTGTCACGAATTGAGTAAAATTAAATTTATCATAAAAAAGGCAAGTACTTGATATTAGTTATTGTCCACTATAATAATAACAACTTTGTGGGCTCAATGTCGTGATTTTAGATCATAATATTCTTTTCTAAGTATAACATCTCTACAATATGTGATTATTGAAAATATTTAAATGTATGTAACTAATATATTGGCATGTCTATTATTATTTCAAATAATTGATAATTTGATTGATATCTGACAATACTATTGACGTACATTGTTCTATAGCCATTACATGTGGTCATCCTGGAAACCCTGCCCATGGATTCACTAATGGCAGTGAGTTCAACCTGAATGATGTCGTGAATTTTACTTGCAACACTGGCTATTTGCTGCAGGGTGCATCTCGAGCCCAGTGTCGAAGCAACGGTCAATGGAGTAGTTCTTTGCCTACTTGTCGAGGTAGGAAAAGCTTTCAATTGATGAACTCTCTACTTTAGAATGCAGTAAGCTAGTAAAATAGGAGATAGTCTTTATTATTAAATTTTAAGTTCCACCTCAGTCACTTTACAAGGCTCCTTCTTTCAGCCTTATTGTATAAAAGCTTTTCTGAAAAAAAATAACTCATTAGAGAATATCTTTACTTAACTACTTACAGATACCCAATTACAAAAGAAATTATAAGATTCTCCATTTTAAAGGCAACTAACTTTTTCACCAATTTTCTTGTCCATTCATTTACTGCTGTCACATATATTAGCATCTTTTTGACATTTGAACCTCTAGTGTAATGCATTTACTTAAGGTATTTGTATTACTTTTCAAAATTATTATACTGCCAATTAGATTATTTTTTAAAAAAAATCATTATTTAGATATATACCGAAATCTGAATTTCCAAGGAAGTTTTGCTTGATAGTTTCTGTATTTCTAAATGTTTGAACTCATAATATTTAAAATTGTGCTTGTTTGCTTGCTGTCAAAACATCTCTAGTATTGAAAATGAGTTACACTTGGGTATGAGGTGATTTCCGTTATATGATTAATAGTTACATAATTTAAAATAATATATTTATTAATTTCTTTCATTCTGACAATTACTACAGTACCCTATAGAGCACTCAAAGGAGTCAAATGCAAGTAAGAAAAAAATAGCAAAATGGGAATTTAGTAATTGTTTTTATTAATAGTGGTATAAAGTTTTGCTACCAAATTTTTATAAACATAGGGATTGAAGTGTTGGCTTAAACTCAAATATTAAATATTGTTGTTATGTACTGTCAAGTTGTCTGTAACACATAGTGACTCTATGTACAATAGTCCTAAACTCTGTTCTATAGTGATCGATCTCACTTCATCTTATACATCTGACTTATTGCCAGAATCACTGTGTTAATTCCTCTTATCCAGGATCTTCCTCTCCTGCATTGTCCCTCCACCCTTCCAAGCTTGATATCCTTCTCCAAGGACTCGCCCCTCCTGCAAATATGCTCAAAGTATGTGAGATGAAGCTTCAAAATCATTGCCTCCAGAGAGAAAATTGGTTTCACTCTTACCAGGACAGATTTGTTTGTTTTCCTGGAAGTCCATGATGTGTTCATTACTCTTCTCCAGAACCACAATACAAAAGCATCAATTCTTCTGCTGTCATCCTTATTCATTGTCTGGCTCTCTGAAACATTAATTATAATTA